TCTACTAGACCCTTTCATTGTGAGTCTGTGTTACTCATGTTGAAGTTGTATCCAACATTATTACAAGTTGTGATCACTGCGCTATATCTTTTCGATTGCCATCCTGTTTAGCAAAACTACCATCTACCACAAGACTCATTTTCAATTATAAAGCGGCTAATTGGGAAATTTTTAGAAATAATTTGAGCTTGGTTCCTTGGCGAACACTTCTCAAAAATATGAATAATCTCGATGAGAGAGTAGAATGCGTCACGGGTATAGTCTTTGATCTTGCTAAGTCTCATAATAAAGTTCTCAAGCTCTCTGGAAGTGACAAGATATGGTTTAAGGAAGAACTTAGGAAATTACACAAAAAAAGAAATATTCTATACAGAAAATGGTCAATAAGCCAGTCTGTAAGAAAGGGGATATAAACAAAATAGAAAGTTATCGTCCAATCACGCTTCTTCCTATTATCGGCAATGTTATGGAACGTGTGATATTCGCCTATTTATACAACTATTTCTTCTCGACTAATCTCACTTCAGTTCATCAATCTGGTTTCGTTAAAAGGGACTCGTGTGTTAATCAACTGTTAAATCTTATCCACTACATTCATGAAGGTCTTGAGGAACAAGGTTTTGTAAGAGCTATATTCCTTGACTTCTCAAGGGCATTCGACAGTGTGTGGCATGGAGGAATAATTTTCAAGCTGAGACAAAAAGGGGTATGTGAACAAGTTGTTAAGTGGATTGAAAATTATCTAAATGATAGAAAAATAAGAACAGTTGTTGATGGTTTTTCGTCTGATTTTTTAGAAATAAACTGCGGCGTCCCTCAAGGATCAATTCTAGGCCCTCTCTTATTTCTCATTTATATTGATGATCTAGGAGAGGGTCTTGAATCTCATTTCAGTTTGTATGCTGATGACACCAGTCTTTTCCACTACTCATCTTCTCTTCAAAAGTCAACTGACACAATAAACAGAGATCTTGAACAAATAGTTCAGTGGTGGTTCTACATGGCAAGTAACTCTACATTTTGAAAAATGTGTCGCCCAGTTATTTCATAAACGTGCGTTAGCTTTAAATTCATACCATTCACCGTTATTCATTCAGAACAAACTCGTTCGCGAAGTTACTCTTCATAAATACCTAGGTCTATTTCTCTCCTCAAATCTATCGTGGATTCTCATATTGACTACGTAATTGGAAAAATAACTTTCGTTCACAACTATATGAGACTTCTCAAATGGAATCTCAATCGTTCAGTATTTGAATGCTTATACAAATCTCTTATTCAATCTCTAGTTAACCATGGCAGCGAAATATACCCATTGACTACGCAAAAGAATATTCTAAAATTAGAGAGTTGTCAGTATCAGATCTGCTTAACTGTTAGGGATGCTATGAGAGGTACTTCTAAAGATAAGTTGTTCAAGGATCAACATTGGCTCTCGTTCTCTCAGCTATTCTATGTTAACAGAATGTGCATGATTTATAAGATTATTTTTGGTTTAGTTAGAATAAGTGCTCAGCATGTTAGATACGTAGAGGTAAAGAAAACAAGATACAGCTTAAGACGAGACAGGGTGCCTAAACTATATGATTATGCAGATAAAAGTTCTTTTTTTCGGTTGTTCTTTTTCCCGACTGCTCTTAGAGAATGGTCTGATCTCATCTCAACACATCTGCAACTAAGTGTTAGACAAAAGCCTGAGACATTTCGAAAAGAGTTAAAAAACATTGTACTTCCACCTACCAATAAATTACCATGTATCGTCGAGCTGATGCACTATTTTGCCGCTTAAGAGTGAATTTCTCCGCGCTTAGCTTCCATCTCAAACAACATAAACTTGTTTGTAAAAATTTCTGCGATAGCTGTTTGTCTCTGTCTCCGTCAATAAAGGTTGTTGAAAATCCAAAACACTATCTCTTGGAATGTCCAAAGTACGATCGAGCTCGAGCAATTCTGGCTGTTCAGCTGGGTAATCTAAGTCTTAGTTTAGATATTGATACACTTCTACTTAGAACACATTTATCCAGTGATCTCTTGATATCTGTGTGTCAGTTTGTGGGTGATTTTATTACTGCCAGTAAGCGTTTCTAACAGACTACGTCCTCTACTTTTTTACTTTTACAGATTTACCTGATCCACCCCTTGTTTCTAAAACGCCAATGTTGGGTGTTTTTCTCTTATTGACACAGTTTCCTTCATCTATTTTTATTGCTCTCACTTTATGTTCTTTTCTTCTTTCTCTAAGTCCAACGTTTTTCTTTTCTTTTCGTCCATTTTTATTTTATGATGATGTTCTGTTTAAGGATTCCTCTCAGGAGATACAATGTAGTCCTTAGGACAACGATTTCACTTGTTTGGTCTTCTTTTCTTGTTTCTTTTTTTTGATTTCTTTAAATAAAAAGCTTAAACTAATGGCTGTCAGATATTCCATGATAGATGTGCATAGGTAGAAATCAGTCTAAATTTGATAACACAAAAAGTCGTGTGCAGATGATAAAACTTGGAGAATGTAGATAGCGTATCATAGCAAATCGATCAGAAAAACTTACACCCCCCTTGGAATCTTCAGAGGGTATCTAGAAACGTTTTAGCTTCATAGTAAACTGGGCGCTTTTTTGTGGAATCAGAGAAGCTCAAGTACATTTCTCACTTACCCTGGGTGCTGTTCGCATTGTTTTGAATTAGGAAATGTTCTTAGACCTTTGTGGGTCTTTGGAGGGTCTCGAGAAAACGTTTTAGATTAGATTGCGAAGCTTACACATCAGCACGGAGAAAAAGTCGTCTTTGGTTCAAAGTCATGGAAGGTCCGTTGCAGATATGAGATTCTAAAGTCAAGGGACCAAGTGAGTGCAGACGAGCGTTACGTTGTAGTCTGTATTCTGTGTATAAGCTATATAACAGACAAATGGGTGGTGGAAGATGTGTGTTTTCTTATTAGGAATCTAGCAAATAAGGAGATATCTTTCTTCATACAAGATGTATTACGTGTAGACATTACATTCGCGCAGATACTAAGTTCCACTGCAGAACAGAAAAATCTGACACAAAGGCACAGAAAGATATGCATAGATACGACAGATAGATACAGATCTGTTTAGCTATGAAAAAAGGCACATCTTTGTTTATCTTTCTGTTATATCGCCGAGATATCTTTCTTGCGTTTATCGTATCTAAGCATATCTTTCTTTTCGTTTGTGTCACAGTTTCTGTTCTGCAGTGTAGTGTCGTATCTCTGCTAAAATAGATTAAAGTGACTGTGGCGATAAAAAAACGGAGACGATGGAGCTCATGTCTACATGGTTTTAACTTGTGTTTTCATCTCCTGTCGGAGAAAAGTCAAGGTTTTACCTGACTGGCGAGTGAGAAACGTAACTCGAAGTCTCAGATCCATCTAAAAAGGAAAAGAATTAAGCAGGGTCGCATTTACAACTTGACTTTTCAACTTTTTTGGCGCATTGTTTGAAAAAGCGTTACAAGGATAAAACGGTGAATGACAAACACTGCTGAACTGATTTTTTCACGTTCCTCACGCAGTGAAAGAGAGAAAGAGAACAGAAACAGACAAACATTTGGCATATTTGTTTAGGAATATGCTGCACGTGCGAGAAACGATATCTCTTATTTGCTGGATCCCTATTCTTATTTTAAACGACACACGTAAAAAACAGTGTTCGTACACATTATATATAACCGACACTCACGGATACTCACTAGTAGTTTATAACTACCAAAAACAGGTTCGCTAACTAAAAACGGCCGCTGGAAATCACCGCAGCGTAGCGCTTACGACTGTAGGAAACCAACACAGGATTTGGCACCTGTAACTGACGGTATATCACTGTTTACTACTGTGTCTAAATCACCTGGATAGATATTTGGACAACAGCTAGCACCCGCATTCTTACATCATTCGAACCGCCAGCAGACGCGCAACAACTTAATGTTTTGCTTTTTTCGCTGTTCTTTTCCTGTATTGAAATAGAGCACCCGGAAACGAAACATGTCAAAATCGGCAAGGTCATTGCATAGTTGGAACCGGTTGAATTTTTACTAACCTGATCGGACTAGCCAGTTTACCGGTCGGTTTAATGTGTAGCTGAAGCGGTAATAAACCGGCAAAAAATCGGCCGGTTCAATTTTGGAGTTCGACCGGTAAAAACCAGTCGATGCCATGGCAGATTAAAGTCCGGATTTTGTGAAAAACCGATTTTTTGCAGAAAGGTAAGCTTGTGTATTTTCCGGAATCTTCCTGTTCCGGTTATTTCAGTATTAACGTGAGGCACGAAGTTCAACCCAATACGAAAAGTTTTTTTCTAGTAGTCTCTTTAGTTAGAATGTGAAAGAAATAATACAGAACACTTGTCAACAGATAAATTGGTAGAAACAAGTTTTTGCTGTTCATATTTTCGAGTCAATCATTATAAAAATGAAGTTATTGTTCTTTTGGCCATAAATTGTTAATATATGCTTCTTTTAACACAATCAAAGATTCGATGCAATCTGGATCAAGCAAACTTCGCTGTTCAGTTACTATTTGTCCCGCACTTGAAAAATGTCGTTCGCTTTCTGCAGTCGATGCTGAAATATAGAGAAAAATGCTCGTAAAAAGCTTCTTTCGGGTTCTAATAAAATGAGATATGGAAGTTCAATATTATATATGCAACGCAAAAAGTCGGATCATACAGATAAAATGAAAGAAAGAATAAAATAAACTCATCTTGTATAACAAGAACTGATTTGGCTATTCTAGCTAACATTGTTGAATTATCCTGTTGTTCTTTCCAATACGGTAAAGGATTGTGATCATATTCTGAAGCCGTAATCATCGTCATACTTTCATAGAACGGTATTTGTCGATCTAATTCTGTTTTCATTGCTCGGGTTATCCCATTCGACGAAGATAAAATCGGACTTGTTATCATTTGTTGTTGACAAATATCGGCAACATGGTGCTGACCTAGTCAAAGTTTCTCACTTAACTTTTTGTCAGTACCACTGTCAATTTAACATCCAGGACATGAAATAAATTTGATTTGATTTTTTTGATTTGCAAAAGGATCGTCTTTACGTCTTTTGCTTGGTGGTGAATTAACGACAAATGAAGATAATGATGTTAATACTTTTGGATCATCATCATTCATTTTTAATGTATCATTGACCAAGACATGTAATCCTTTTCGTATCTCATTTTTACGCATTTCAGAATCTTTTTTGTCATCAATAAATGCCAGATGTTTGAATGTGGGTTCAAAGTATGTTGCGATCCAATGCAATGTTGTTATTGAAGGCCAATATTTATCGTCTAAAGCCTTTATAATTTCTGATTTCAATGCGTTAATGATTAATTTCTGTTGTGGTGCATTTTTTTTCAATCCGACAATAATGAGCCATTTTATAATAACTAGGAACAATGTTTTGTAGCGTTGAATGATTCGAAAATTCCAAATGATCAAATATTAATGCAAATTTTCTCATGAGATCAACAATATCGGCCAACAACACTGTATTAATCGGAAATATCCGATGTTGTTCGTTTCTTCCACGTAAAATTTGTACTAATGTTTCAAAAGAAGCATTCAATGAATCATGAACTGTAAAGTAAGATCTCCATGGACGAGTACCACTACCACCTTTGATTGTTTTCGGTAATTTAGATTGTATTCCACCAGTTTGTTGAACATATATCATTTAATTGTTTCCACGACGTGCGGTTCAACTAATGGTTTCGTATTTAGCTTACAAACACGAATTGGCTTAACATTTAGTACTGTACGTTGTATAAATAGTAGCAGAGCAACTGCTTAGGAAACTAGTCAGCAGATTTTCATGACTGCGCGTTTTTTTATTGACTATCTCGTTTTTCTTCAAACTCCTACTGATAAAAGCTAAAATTGTAAGTCACATCCATCATATTTTCTTTCCGAAGAGCTTGTTATAGACTTTCAGTAGTATCATTTATTATTTGACTTTGCCCGAGTTGTTTACATCTTACATATTCTTCTCTATGTTTATCTTCTATTTCAGATTTATATTGCACTTATTTTTTATATAGAATTCATTTTACATGTATTATACTTGATTTCTGGTAGATGTAAACAATTGCTTCTGCGATATAATATTTGAAGCAATTCGTTTACACTGCTTGTTTCAAGTATGAATCGTCGAATGCAAATCAAATACTAGTTCGCAAATAAATACTCTTTTGCAACGTAATTGTTTTCGCAGATTTTTTAGGTAAAAGATTTTCCCAACATTCGACAATACATTGGACTGGAAGTCAGGAAACTATATAAAACCGAATGTGCTAATTTCGAAAGCTCACACGCCCCAAACTCTGCATATACTTTTTGGTTTCCGGAGATATGTAATATATTGCAATATGGACAACAGTTGACCTGATATCGTATGTGAATCTTCAAGTAATAGGGACTAAGGAAATGAATGTAAACTAATTCTATAGACAGTCACTAAGAGAGAAACCCGTTGCCTGCCCTACTAAGAAAAGAATTACAGCGAACCCACCGGTTTGCGAACAATTTCCCATTTAGGCAATAAATTATACAAAACTGATCTTGTTTGAAATATGTCAAGAGTAAATTAGCTGCATGGCAAAGTTTTCTAGCTATGCGTCTGTCGCGAAGTATATGCCGGTCTAGCATGCGCGTACATCTGAGCAATATTTTTTGAGATCGTTCGTTAACGCGTTTTGACGAAAACGAGGAATAACGGCATCTTTAACGATCGTTCGGCATCGAAAACGCGTTTTAATAAAAGTGTAAACGAGAACAAACGCGTTTCAACGGCGTTTTTAACGATCGTTGACTAACGCGTTTTTCTTGCCATTTTTAAGGATTTTTTTTCGGCTGGGTAAATCAACTGTTTCTTTAGGCCTTTGTTTTGCTAGCGCTTCATAGTGAGTCATAGGCTGATCAATCATATTTCTCCAACCTATTTATTTGAAGATATTTGTTATTTTTATTAAAATCTATTAAATTAAAATTTTTTATTTTATCCCGGGCCAAAGATGCCATTTCCATCCTACAGCATTCCGCACGTGACCCCTATGCTGACTCTCGAATCATTTCGAAACCACTCCTCTAAGATTCGCCGTTGTGTTTTACCTATTTGGAGTTGTTTTCATCAGTTTTGAAGGAAAAACGAATTTTTTATTCGACAATGACCTGGCCGATTTTGACATGTTTCGTTTCCGGGTGCTCTATCTAAATACAGGAAAAGAACAGCGAAAAAAGCAAAACATTAAGTTGTTGTGCGTCTCCCGGTGGTTCGAACGATGTAAGAATGCGGGTGCTAGCTGCTGAACAAATATCTCAAAACGGGGTCAGGAAATTCGGTACTACATATGGAGAAGTGCTGATTTCGAAATTTTTTCAACCGGAAGGATATGCGGCATCTGGCTCTAAACCATGTGTCTACGGTCAGTTTCATCCAAGGATCCCAAATATCACGTCGAAAAAATTCTAGCGTGAAAGGGAGCTGAGATATATCGCGTTTTTCTCATTTTTGACACGGGTGCAATCCCAAGCGTTTTTCTCCATGAACATGCGGTCAAAACTAAAAAATAAAATCAGATTCGTAATCAGCAGTTCCTGGTGGTTCACAATATGTATGTTTAAAAGAAATCTAAGAGGTGCTTAAACTTTGAGTTAGTGGCACCTTACATAAATTTCTTCGTAAAAAAATAGCAAAGTTTGAGTTAACTACTTATTATCATCGGTGAAGCTGCACGCAGTTTTTCTTGTTACTCATGAGGGAAGGTCACCAACTGCCACCTCGCTTTTTAGCTCTAAGCTAGTGGGTAATAGGTAAAAAAATGTGCTGAATCCGAATATGACAATGGTTTAGGCCGCTAGGCCTCCAAAGACTGGATTTCTAGAAAACCAGTTTTCCAGAAACTCCAGAAACTCTCCAAAACTTTTCTTAATAAGTTAAAATTGTAGCACGCGAAATTCTGATCAAAATGAGACATTGCCCAGCTCTACATGACATTTCTTTGCAAAGTTATGGAATTTACAAGAAAATTTTTCCTTCTTATATTTGTAGCTTTGAGCTGACAATGAACATTTGGCTTTTCTTGTAAATTCCATAACTTTGCAAAGAAATGTCATGTAGAGTTGGGCAATGTCTCATTTTGATCAGAATTTCGCGTGCTACAATTTTAACTTATTAAGAAAAGTTTTGGAGAGTTTTTGGAGTTCTGGAAAACTGGTTTTCTAGAAATCCAGTCTTTGGAGGCCTAGCGGCCCAAACCATTGTCATATTCGGATTCAGCACATTTTTTTACCTATTACCCACTAGCTTAGAGCTAAAAAGCAAGGTGGTATTTGGTGACCTCCCCTCGTCAGATTAATGCATAAATCACGTGTTTTATAATCTAAAAACATGATGAATTTTAATTGAGAAGAATGCACATGGATATACGAAAATTCTGTGTGACAAATCCTTGACTTAATAAACTTTCGATTTATTTTTTTGATAGATCTGAGTTTTTTAGCGCAATGAGACATCGATAAGATGTATTTGTAAAATAAATTTCGATTCTAAATAGTGTTTCACCGCCGATATATGGGGAAAATAAGAAAAGTTATCACTTAATTTCCAAAATAACTTGAATAATTAATATCTCTTTATGCAGAGCAGAACACGCCAGCACAAAATTCTCTTACACTTTTTCTTATAATCATATGTTCTATCAATAATATTTAATCATCAGAGTATAAGCGAAAGCAGCTGTGACCGTCTGAGAAGAATCTCTCGTAAGGTACATTTTGTCATCTCCCGATGAATACATTTAAATGTCAACAGCAATGTGGAGCTTATACTCTATATTTTTATGCATTTTATAGTATATAATTCTTATAAAATACATAATTGTACTTCGTTATTGCTTTCAACAATTTTTCTATTTTTATTTAGCGTTGACAAGTTGTTTTTTGTAAGTAGAAGTAGAAGCATTTTTTTTCTATTTATCTTAGTTGCCATTTATCTACGATTTAATAGCATATGTATATAAAAAATAAACGCACTGCAAATATAATATTAGCGAGTGATTGACTTGAGACGTTTTTCGTATGACAGATATATAATTCATGCTGAAAATATTCAATATTACTCGAATAAAATCTGCTTTATACGCTACTATAACCGAATACGAAACAACCAAAATCGTTAGTATACAAAGTTACAAAACAACTGCTTTGCTACGGATCATTCAAACTCTTTTACTTCTCTATGGCGTTCTTTATATTCTATGGTACAAAAAAGGCTATCAAAAACATGATTCATCGTATGTTTATTCGGTTGTATTGAAAATAAAAGGTATCGGTTATACGCAAACATTACCGAATGATAACCAGACAACAATAATTATAGATGGTGTCTATTATACAGTACCATCAGTTGAAAACATGGCCATGTTTACGATGACCAGTTTCATTCAGACACACCAAATGAGAGGTACATGTACAGAAACGAGACATTTGAAAAGCGCTGTCTGTAAGACAGATGAAGACTGCTTGAGAGGTCCAGTTTTAAATGCGAACGGACAGTGGACAGGCAAATGTTTGCTGCCGACGATAAACGCTAGTCAAGGTCTCTGTGAGCTCAATGGTTGGTGTCCTGTCGAGGATCGATCCAAGCAATTTATCGTTCAAAATATTATGAATTTTACGTTGTTTTTAAAAACGTTTGTAGAGTTTCCTCAATTCAAAGTTCGACTAAAAAATTTTGCAAATGCTATGGCTCCGTGTATATACGATCCGGTCACTGATAAACTCTGTCCCATTTTTCGTATTGGTCAGATAATCGAAACAATTGAAAAAGATGAGAAAGAACGTGAATGGATGTTAAAATATGGTAGTGTAATTAAAATTCAAGTTGATTGGAACTGTAATTTGGATATGAATATTGAAAAATGTAAACCTTCCTACTCGTTTCGAAAATTATCAACAAACTATCACGCCGACAAGTTTTCAAATGGATTTAATTTCAGGTTAGGGTGAATAATATTTTGACTATGTTGATGATACTGAAATACACACTATTCTAGATTTGTTTCACACTGGAAAGACGAACAAGGACATCGTTGTCGAACATTGACGAAAGCATTTGGTCTTCGATTTTTGATTACTATCGGTGGAGAAAGCGGTAAATTTGATTTATTGACATTGACAATGAATATTGGAAGTATTTTTGCTATTTTTGGCGTTGCAGCAATTGTTTGTAATATATTCTCGTTGTATCTTTGCCCAGAGGCTAAAGCATTTCGTCAGCATATATACGAGCGCGTTGATGATCGAACATTTTATACGAGAAGACAAGGAATTGATTATGGTCGAAACTCATCAATTCATAGTTAAAGCCAAATTTTATTAAATAATTCATCACAAAAACGACTAACTAATTTATTCAGCATCATTTGTTCGTTGTTGCAGGTCTAACATGGAACATAGATAATATTTGTTTTTTATTTTAATTTATTTTGATTTTTTAGTTAACCACGTGCTTTTTCTTACAATGGAGGGATGAGCTTAATCAGACTTCGTTACTAACGATTCTGATTGTTCTTTTGAATCATACTTGTTTGATATAAAAACACCACTATAAAAATTTTCTGTTCAAATTGTTCCAGTTCGGCCGAATATGATCGGGTCTCGGAATATATGCTAAAGTTTGTTTTTTCTTGTTTCTATCATTTAAAAACACTGTAGCAAACGTCCATAAACTTTATAAAATAAGATAGAAAAACGAAATCAGATAGATTTACTCCACTGTAAGTTTGAAATACTGTTTTTACACAGATTGAGAAAACAGTATTTCAGAGTGAGAAAGCGAGACTGGTAGATGACAAAAGCTCCAGTCATTATGATGATATGAATAAAAGAGCTTATTGCCGATTTCCGAGAGTAATACAATTTTTTTCGATAGTTTCATAGTTTCTACAATCGAGAATCACGTGTTTAATACCAAGTGTGAAGAGAAAGAGTAGTTTTTACCGAAATACAATTCGAAAAAATAAGGCTAGACAGAAGTAATTGCGACGAGTATCTGATGAACTAAAGTTCAGCTTTGTTAACGAGCATCCGATGAATTTTCATAGCCTATTATAATCCTACTAGCGAGTTTCAAAACATGAGTTGAGCCAGATGAATTATATTTCTTAACTAGGGATATTTAGATACGAATAAAGAAAAAACTTTAATTTAATTTATTGTTTTATTAAGTTTGCTTACAATTCGTAATGTATAATATTATAATATAAACCAGACGTTTCAATTTATTAGCTAAATTTTCTTCAGTGGCAAAAAACAATAAAAGAAAATAAATTTAAGTTTAAATTGGATCAAGACATTTTTTAAAAATATTAAACATACATTATCACAAGTAACTCTTTACAAGTACATAAGATGTTAACAATATGGTTTTAGTATTAACATCTTATGTACTTGTAAAAAGTTACTTGTGATAATGTATGTTTAATATTTTTAAAAAATGTCTTGATTCAATTTAAACTTAAATTTATTTTCTTTTATTGTTTTTTGCCACTGAAGAAAATTTAGTTAATAAATTGAAACGTCTGGTTTATATTATAATATTATACATTACGAATTGTAAGCAAACTTAATAAAATAATAAATTAAATTAAAGATGGATTACAAAGAATACTTGCACACTCAATCGTGGGACGATCATATACAGCTGAAGATGTGTTAGATACGAAGACTACGGCGAAAGTTTCTGAGAAAGTGCAGCATCAAGACGTTTAAGATTAGTACTACGTAAAAGAACAGTGTCATTTATTTATAGTGGCAGACATGAACTAGTGTTAAAAAACGTAAAGATTAGTGTTTATCAGTCTTGACTCTCAAAAGCAGCAGTTCTCAGGAAGTCGTTCCGAATATCTTTGAAACATTCTATGAATGACTTTCGCGTGACCACCTTAGAATTACATATCCAACAATGATCTGATGAGATACTTTTAGAGATCTTGAGTGTGACTACCTAAGTAACCAAAAGACGGATGAAATGACTAGTCTTTTTTCCTAGTCCGGACGACCGTCCCGATTAGTCTTACGGCAAAAATGCCCCGTCATGACTTTTCCAACATTTTAACCGTTAATTAAAAGAAAACCGTCCGTGGTAGTATCGCTGACTAGTCTGCCAAGCTATATACTGACGACTAGTCTAAATGAAAAAAATTTAGAAATAGGTTAGAAGCGAACATGCGACACTTTGATTTAAATACCTGCAATTGAGCCATTGCGCCATCAGTTATGTGTGCTAGTTTTTAGTATAGGTGAAGAATATTTCGCTGAAGCTTTTTAAGAATTTGGTTCTTCGTTGCAAACTTATTATAACTTCCGAATAAATAGTTCTTAGCAAAAGAGCTTTTCTTAAAAGATTTAGTCCATGGTTGGGCCAAGTGAAAAGTTTTCAAAAAAGTTCTTTCATCAAACATCTCTGCAATATCCATCGTTCAATTCGAATGATTCAGAAGGTTTTAACGCGGATTTCAAATATCACCTCGCTTCTGTTAACTCACATCTTTCTGGTGGACAACTGAAATTGTTAGGACAATTTTCCCAATTTCTTACAGCCGGCTACATTTACCGTCTAAGTTTCTCCATGAATCTACCATTGGTAACATTGTAAATTACTCTATCTTATACAGAATTACGCGCTCTACAAAATGCGACATATACTTCTATGTATAATTGAACCGTACGTATTTTCCCACAAGACTACTCAGAGAGTGCTTGTTGACGGGCACAATCGTACTTGCCTGGAAGAACGTACCAAACGTCCGTCCGGTTCGGGCGACAGTTTCTTTGCACAGACGGTCTAGGGTACTTCGGCACAGGTCCGCCCAGTATTGCATCGGCCGAAAGCCGGAAAGGTTTGTCTATATGCAATGAATAGACATCTCTCATATTGCTAACTGGAAAGAGCATACAAAGTTGCATATTTCTATCCGCAAATGAGAGTTTCTCCTCTGAAATTCGGAAATTTTTGAGTGGCGGTTTTCTAGAAATCCCCTCAAAATCCTATCATCTTCTTGAGGCCAGTAACGGAAAACAATACTAAATTAGCCATAAAATGACTTACTGAATCCCAATTTCAGGTTAGTTTGGATTCAATATTTAGGAGCAACTGAGGATTTTGAAGGGATTTCTAGAAAACCGCCATAAGAAATACTACCTGGTCAAAGCTATCGTTCTGTAGCACTAGTCGAGGGAGGAGGCCAAGACTGGCCAAAGTAGGTCTCCAGGCTACGCTTACCATGAAAAAGTAAAAAGCGCTAGAGACTTCATTGTTGCATCATACGAACAAACCTGGAAGCCGCTATTCGCCCCGCAAATGAGAGTTTCTCCTCTGACATTCGCAAAGAATTTTTGACTGGAGGACCTTATCTGCATTAGCAGATATCACTCGTTTCATAGCGTGTTGGACGAGCTTAAAATTTAACAAAACTTAACTTCATTTATATTCATATAAAAACGGCTTTCCAAGTTTGTTCGCATGATGCAACAATGAAGTCTGTTTTTAGCGTGAACTGGTTTCGCTTACAATAATTAAAAGGCTTTTGACTTTTCTTTAATTGTATTTAAAATTTTTTTTGAAATTGTTCTTTTAAATTTATTTTGAAATTTTTTCCAGCAGTTCCTGGGTTTCAGTTCGTAGTAATCCCAGTTAACTGAAACTGATGCATACCTTAGGCACAATAATCCTTATTGTCAGTAAAGCGAATATTATATATCAATAAATCACGATTATCCATCCTTGTCCTCCACAGCTTTAATTACAGATCCGTCACAGTAAACTACAAGAACTGCGAACCAAGAGCAGCGACAACCTCAGATAATGGAGAGTGATGAAAAAGATGCGCCGTGGCAACAGGGACTTCTCAGCAATCGCGGAATGACTCCGCGATCCGAGCACGATCTTTATAAGAAAAAAGTATCACGGCGCAATCCCGAATTACAATTTTTTCCAAAAATTAGAGTTAGACGCGATCGCGCCGCGACAACAGCGACGGTAACAGCGGTTCTTAGCGGCACGAGTTGTGCGATTTTAACGCGAGCGAGAACCAGACTTCATTTGCGGGACGCAAATGAAGCAAGAAAGTGAACTTGGGGAACAATACTCTTCCTTGTGTTATTCTTCAGGTGTTACTTATACATAAATGAGGCATTTGGAAGCATTTAGAAATACTTTTTGGGATTATAATGTCACTTGTAGTCTAGGAACAGCTACTTTGCCAATGTCAATGAAGAAGCACTATGGGACGGACAGTGGGGCTGATCGTTTGGGTTTTATCGTCTAATAAAATAAAAAAGTTGGTCTCCAGGCTACGCTTACCATGAAAAAGTAAAAAGCGCTAGAGACTTCATTGTTGCATCATACGAACAAACTTGGAAGCCGTTTTTATATGAATATAAATAAAGTTAAGTTTTGTTAAATTTTAAGCTCATCCAACAAGCTATAAAACGAGTGATATCTGCTAATGCAGATAACGTCCTCCAGTCAAAAATTCTTAGTCGTCATAAGTATAATATTGGCTCAAATCATGTTCATGCGCTCCTTTCTGTTTACAGTCTTGACATATATTACAAGCCTCACATGTTGCACATGCATATCGAACACCAACGATCGGTTTCATATCACAACTATCGCATTGAATATCTTTCCATGTATGTTCACCCGGTTGAGCAGCGCGTGACCAAAAGATGGATTGACCTTTTACCCATTTGCCAATAGCATTACTGCCTTTTTGTGTTAATTCAGTCACACCGTCTTCGGTGAGAATTGTACCATCCGTTTTCAAAATGATTAGCGATGGAATGCGTTGTATCTGGTATTTTTGCTCCAATTTCTCAGCTAGAGTACGATCTAAAATAGAATTAATTTGCAGAAATAGTTAACAGGCTTGGGGATTTAGCTATTACCTTCATACGGTATGGCTTTCCATGGCATTTCCTTGTAATATTCATCGAATGATGATTGATCTTCATCACTTGAAACAAAAACTACATCAAATGATGCATCTGCAATTGCCTGTTTATATGCTTCAGCCAATATTGGTGTGAACGTACGACATGGTGGACACCAATGAGCTCTAAAGCGAAAACGCTTTTTCAAAATTTATTTGATAATTTAACTAAGTCTCACTTACGAGAAATACAGTCCAATGTATTTATCTTTCAGCTGATTTGAATCGTATGCAGAATCTGTTGCACCATTTAGTAGTTTTGTACCAACTAGCTCAACCGCGGAAGTCATTTTTGTGTGCAAAAATGTTTTGTTCGTTTCTGTTTTTATGTTATATACGTATACATAGGATATAAACTGAAGACTATGATATAACTGATTAGTAATAATTGCGTTACTTAGTAGCGCAGTGAAAAATAGCAGTAGTACGCACGTTTCTTTTGTTCGGTCGGTAGTTTATACAGCTGAATTTTATATTTCTTTCTTTCCTAGTTCGTTTAGGAATCTATCGAAACTTGTATTAGTCTTTTGTGGTTATGCAGAAAATTTTATTTAGAAATTAGGAATTGATACAGAAAATTGAAGTTGCTTATCTGAATTATATTATTACTTGTTCTATTTTCTTTTCGCTCTATCGTGTTTTCTAAACGATATATAAATGATTTAGCTTTTCGTTAGCTGATTAGTGTAACGTACAGTTCTGCGGGTTTGAACTTTTTCGAACCGGAACCATGATCTCGTGCCGTAGGGTCGAAGCCCGTTTGAATCCGAACCCAAAAAGATCTATTCACAATTCCGATTTCGAAACGCGAACCCGCTGTTCCAGGTTCGGAATTGAGATTCGGCTAAACCCACAGTGCTCTAGTGTAACATCTTTTCTGTTGAGGGAAAAGCAAAAAAGGACTTCTCACATGACTCCAATAGACAACATTGTTGTTAAACTTTCGATTACGAACTTTATCTTTGATCCTTACCACTTAAAAAAGTGATCATAGAAAGCGTAAATAGAAGTTGTTGGTAAGAAAGTGACTTTGATCGGTTTGCTTTAGTTACGTGAAACACAGAGCCATTGCTTGAAGTGATGTTTTGAGTGTACATTTTCAGCTCACATCGATGCGTTTGATCGCCACGGTGTTACTCTCTTTAAAAATGTGCGTCTATATTTCCGACGATTAATGTCCGACCACTAAATAGACACTGTGGCGAGTTTGCATTTGCCGCAAGGTCAAAAATCGAAGATGTCCTTCTACCCTCTCAAGCGGTAACACGGATAGAGAGGGCGACAAGGATAAGGAGGATAGAGAGGGCGAGGAGGATAGAGGGGACGGGAAGGATAAGGAGGATAGAGAGGACGAGGAGGATAGAGGGAACGGGAAGGATAGAGGGAACGGGAAGGATGAGGAGGATAGAGAGGACAAGAAGGACAATAAGAACCAAAAGGACAAAGAGGACAAAAAGGACAATAAGGTCAAGAAGGACAATATGGACAATAAGGACAAGACGCACAAGAAGGACAATAAGGACAAGAAGGACAAAAAGGACAAGAAGGACAGAAAGGACAAGAAGGACAAGAAGGACAAGAAGCACAACAAGGACCAAAAGGACAAAAAGGACAATAAGGAGAAGAAGGACAGAAAGGACAAAAAGGACAATACGGACAATGTGGACAATAAAGACAAGAAGGACAAAAAGGACAAGAAGGACAAGAAGGACAACAAGGACAGAAAGGATAATAAGGACAAAAAGGACAAAACGCAGGCACACTATCTCAAACACGAAGTTTCGCTATATTATGTTTGTCACTTCCAATCATTCTAAAGTCCTGTCATTCATTATATACAATTTCACTCATTATAAACAATATTTCCGACGATTAATGTCCGACCACTAAATAGACACTGTGGCGAGTTTGCATTTGCCGCAAGGTCAAAAATCGAAGATGTCCTTCTACCCTCTCATGCGGTAACACGGATAGAGAGTGCGAGAAGGATAAGGAGGATAGAGAGGGCGAGGAGGGTAGGGACTCCGCGATGCGAGCACGATCTTTATAAGAAAAAAGTATCACGGCGCAATCCCGAATTACAATTTTTTCCAAAAATTAGAGTTAGACGCGATCGCGCCGCGACAACAGCGACGGTAACAGCGGTTCTTAGCGGCACGAGTTGTGCGATTTTAACGCGAGCGAGAACCAGACTTCATTTGCGGGACGCAAATGAAGCAAGAAAGTGAACTTGGGGAACAATACTCTTCCTTGTGTTATTCTTCAGGTGTTACTTATACATAAATGAGGCATTTGGAAGCATTTAGAAATACTTTTTGGGATTATAATGTCACTTGTAGTCTAGGAACAGCTACTTTGCCAATGTCAATGAAGAAGCACTATGGGACGGACAGAGGGGCTGTTCGTGGAGAAAGAAACTAGACCTACTCAATAGCCAAAAATCAGCGGAAAAGAAAAGTAATAAAAAGTTATATACAGAAAATTACATTAGACAATATTTTCCGTATACTAGTTCTAATCATACGTCATCTGTCACCCGTAGCGCACCTGAATATTTAAAATACAGAAGAAGTTTATTCAGCAACCATCATACTATGCTAAGGTTGCAATTGCGGTAAATCGAGACTTTTCCTTTAAGTAGACATCTGCGGCAAGCTGATGATGAGGATATAGAGTTGCAGAACATTAAGATTAAAGAGTACAAGAAGGATGATAAGGGCCAAAAGGACAAGAAGGATAATAAGGATAATAAGGATAGTAAGGACAAGAAGGATAGTAAGGACAAGAAGGACAAAAAGGACAAGAAGGATAATAAGGATAATAAGGATAGTAAGGACAACAAGGATAGTAAGGCAAGAAGGATAGTAAGGACAAAAAGGACAATAACGACAATAAGGACAATACGGACCAAAAGGATAATAAGGACAATACGGACAAACAGGACAATACGGACAATATGGACAAAAAGGACAATAAGGACAATAAGGACAAAAAGGACAATACGGACCAAAAGGATAATAAGGA